CAAAATGGGAAACTCATTTTTTAAATCTTTTTTGCTGCCTCCCCCCACCCCCTTATCCTTCTGTTTTTAAAGGCAGATCTACATAAACGTAAATAGGCTGTTTATATAAACCATGGCAGATTTCTTTGTTCTTCATGATGTGATGACAGAGTCAGATCTTAACTCCAGGCAAAAGCTTAAGACCCTCTCATGTCAGCACAGGTACTAAGGAATCTGATGGAAGTAGTAAATGCCATGTATATAGTGACTTGAATTAATACAAAGGAACAGAACTGTTGTTCAAGTTTATTGCTGTTTAGGATAGAAACGAAATACTGTAGCCAGCTTCAGTGCAGTTTAAATAGGGAAATGTACTTGCTAAATTGCTCATTTTTTTAACTTCAAGGGTTTATTAACTCAGTGACTTAGACAAAGTGACACAAAATATACAGTATAAACTTTCACTAGTGACAAAAGCCATCAGTGGTGTAGATTCATGCTGGAGATTCTTTAAAAGAAAGATTGCTGACAAGACATTATGGTGCAATTTACGGGCATAGTTACCCAGCATATAATTTTCAGGTCTGAAGCTGCCTGGAGGGGAAGCAAGGAAGGCAGAATCTGGTGTCAGGTGTCCTCTGTTCTCTCGCTGCGGGGGTGACCAGAGATCATATTCTCCCAGCATGTTGCTGGGTCAGCACAGTATCACTGGGCCTCCAAGTAGGCACTTTTTTTGCCTCTGTCTCCTCTCCCACCCTCAAGCTCAAGAGCAGCAGAATTTAGACCTGACAAACTGATTTCCTGTCTTTCTGTAATAGCCAGAAGTCACCAATTAGCATTTCCACCACTTCCCCACTAGCAAATAGCTGGACCTATGGGGGGCCCCTTGGCCGGATGACATGGTGCCATGTACCTGAGTAGGCTGGTGTGCTGGGTTCCAGAGCCAGGGGGTGGAGCCAGCTTGTGGACCTGGACTTGGTGCACAGCGTGGGTCTGACTTGGTGCACCGGGTTAGAGTCAACATGCAGCTCTAGACCTTGGATCCTGGACCTTACATGGGGATGGACTCAGCATGCCACGGGGCTGGTTGGCAGAGCCCTATCTGGCTTATGGGGCTGGCAGCAGATTCAGGGGCAGCTTCCCTCCCTACCTGCTGTTACTTGGTTTCTTCAAGGAATATTTTCTGTTCACCCTGCCTCCTGAAAACAAGGTCTGTATTATATTTGGAGATATGGTGTATGCAAAAAACATGGAGGTTTTTTTCCTAATCCATCCAAGGTGACCATATTTCCCTGGTCACAAAATGGGACACTCCACTCTACCCCCAACTCTTTGACATACTCAGTCTCAGCTGAGTGGGCAGAAGAGATGGGGGTGGGGGACAGCCCTGTTTTTATTGGGACAGTCTTCTTGCCCTGGGTATCCCTCTGAAAATGGGACACAAGCATTTGTTTGAATGTAGTGACAGACCACCCAGGACAGGACAAAAACGAGGGTGTATACTCAGAATAAATCCATCCCACCAAGACTGTTGCCTTGCCAAAGGGCTGTAAATAGTATTCATTTTACTTATATTCTAACTTTTACTTGTGTTTTCTTTCCTTTGTGAAGTTCTTTATAAGAACTCCAGAGAAATTTGAAACTCTTCCCATGTAAGCAATGATGACCTATAAAAGACAAAGCACAACTTACAATTTTCCCATCCTGTAGGAGTGTTCTTCCTTTGCTGCCACATTTTGTCAAAGCCAAATCATGCAGAAAATGTTAGCTATTATGTTGGCCCATGACAAAAAAGTGTAATAATGCAAGTTATATTTGACATTTTTAAAATCAATACCAATTAGTTTTTTCCCTCTGCTGCACAAAGAAAGTCCAGTTTCAGCACTGGTTTCTTTGATGTATGATCTATCAGATAATAATTTTTTTTAAATAGAAAGCCTTCTTCACCCCCCACCCCATTTTGTCAATTAAATCCTTGTAGTTGCAGTAAACTCATTTATACAGATTACAGAGTTCAAATTAGATGTTTTATAGAACAACAAATGGAATAGCTTTTGGCCGGCTTGAGAGAGAAAATAGGCTTTTGAACCTTGCACAAGGTCAGTAGAAAAACTAAGCTCTGAATAGTTTGCCAAAAATATTTATGCCATGTTTTAACATTACTGTAATGAAAGGCCAGTACTAAAATTAAGCTGTAATTTAAATTTGCGGTTTCATTTGAGCATGGTCAAGAGATGCAGTTTGGGTACAAAAATCATTTCTCTTTATTTAAAAAAAAATATCCTTTTACTTACTCCCCCCAAATGATCCTCTAAACAATACCATCTCCAAGAGAATGGCAGAATTAGCTTGATCAAGTTACACTGAGGCTTCTTATTGCTTTGATGCCACAATGATGGAAGTGCTAGACAGCAATGGATGCATTTTACATTTTTCAAGTCAATGTTGTGTTACATTGTAAAAGAAAAAAAGGATTGAATAAGGATTTTTTTCTTCATAAATGCAGCTTATGAAATTTGATGAAGATGTTTGTTAATACAGTATTCTGAATAGTTCATCTCTTACCAAGTATAATCTTTTCAGTGTTCAGTTCTTTGCAATACAGGCATTTCTTGTTCTCAAGTTCAATCAGGTCCAGATTGCAGAGATTCCTTAGCTGAAGGTGCTCCATTTGACTGCTCGAAGGCTATGCAAAATGAGTATTTATTCTACGCTATAGATGATAAATCTTTAAAAACACCATTAACATGCCTAGCTAATATAGGCAAGATTAACCAAGTAAGGTTGATAACCTACCTCCCCTTCAACATTCCAATGCTTAGTCTGATTAGGTGCCTGACAATGTTACATTTAAAAAAATAGCTTATAAAAGATGGGTTAAACCTAATAGTTGTCAACTGTATTGTGTATATGCACTTTGTCTTAATAAAAGATGTTATCAAGACAAAGTGGAAGGAAGACCCCATTTATGAGGCAAAATGAGAGGACACAAATCAGAATAAAATGAGAAACTGTTAATGAAGGTGGCAGAATGATATCATTGCAAGTCACCAGCAAGCCTAATCATTAAATTTGAGACCTAGTATGACAAATAATGGATGGAAGTTCTGTAAAGTTTCTTCTTTGTTTCTGGTAAAATCAATCTCTGAGGTTTCTCATGAATGCTTTTATTTTGTACATAGAATATTCTGATTCTGCCCTTCAAAGAAGATTTCAACTAATTTAGATGTTAGCAGGTTTGGGAAAGTGTTCTATCCGGGATTTCATATCCATGTAACCTGGTATCTGTTCTAATTGCAAAATGTTCTCCTTGGCAGTGAAAATCTGATTGCTTTTCATTCTTTGGAAAGCTGTTGCTCTTGTATATCTTTAGTCATGCCACTGAAAGAATAGGATGGACATTTAGGACATGCTCACTGTAGACCACGGTGTTGATGCAGAGGTACTTGGCTACCAGAAGTAGAGTAGCTGCTTTTATAAGGAGTTTCTTATTAGTTTTTCTGCTCTGCTTTTTAGGACCTCCAGGCTACTGTGGTTGGAGAGCTTCTGGTACTAGAGCTATCATATTTTAGAGCTAGCTTAGGCAGTGTAGATGCATGTGAGCTTGTTCAAAGTGTTTTGATGTCTGTGACCATCCAAGCTTATTCCAATTGTGCCGGTGACCTGTGGTTGACTTGTATATCTTGTCTTTGTGAACAGGAAGGAAACCACCAATTTCATTTTAAGGAAAACTTCCAGATAAAAATTTTGGTTGCTACCAGCATGCCTTGGATAACAAGTTAGAGGCGGGAGACTCCCTTGTGTTTTACCAGTTCCCTGACCCATCTGGGCTCCATCCAGAATCTAAGACAAAGCCATTGGTGTTGGTAGCAGAAGATAGGCAATGCAGGAGATCATCTCAAGGATGTATAAACATGCAGGATGTATGTTGAACTGAGCTTGTGAGATGCTGAATGGAGGTCTTCAAATATTTGTTTGCATATACTCACAAGCAGTATCCATGTTACTAGTGTAAATTGTGACATGCTTAATATCCTAGAGAGAATGGTTGAGTAGAGTGTAAACTCCAGGAGTTGATTCATGGTTCTGTTGTCTATTTCATTAGACTACAGCACAGCCAAAAGGAAGCACAGAGTAATGCTGTATATAGTAAATTATTCCAACCAAAGTCAGAAATGGCTTGAAAGAGAATGGTATGCACTGAATGAGTTCCCTTTTTTTTAAGTCAAGACATACAACTTTCTTAATGTAAGGCATAAATCCCAACAGCTGTACCAGGATTTGCATGCCCATGAAGAAAGCTCTATGTGAAATTAGTGCCCGTAAGCTAAGGACATACTACTTAATATTATGATTAATTCAAGATGTATTGACATTATAGGCATCAAACTTTTTAGTGCTGATTTCTTATATAATTGTTAAATAAATATTTTCTGTATAATATGGGTTTAAAATATGTTTTAATATAATTCTACATAAAGTAGAATTTCTAAATAAAGTATTATTCAGTTAAACCTTAACTGGCAATGCGTTATTGCATGGTCTTCATGTGTTCTCAGTTAAACCTCTCTCACACAGCTCTTGGAGAAATATCATGCCTCCAGTTATTATTTCAGAAGCAATACCGTCACAGTGACTTCATAGGTCATTGTTAGATATCCACAATTTTAGAACTCTGTCCTGTAATAAGTCAACATGGTAGAAAAGTAGTAGGGAATGTTTTATAAAAAGATGAGGCATTAAAGACCTGAGTTCACTTTTTTCAAGAACAGTGGCACTAAACTAGGTAGCTTTCGAAACTGATAAATAAGTTCTGCCACACTTACTCTGTTCTAGATTCATTTGTATGTTTCATTCTTTGCTTCCTGTCCAAAGCAGTTATACAAAATCACTATGCATTTTTAAACTGGAAGCAGTTACAATTCGTTGGTAGGTAAAGTGTATGCCAATTTCACTCTGTAACACATTTTTGAATAACAGGCAGGATACAAATGTAAGTAATGTGTTAAATTTACTTTTAGGTTGGGCAATGCAGGTTGCTGCCTTTATTTTCATTCAGAGAAAATGGGAAGATGACAAGAATCATTTTGAAAAGATGCTGGATTATTTCTGTGACATTCGTGAGCCACTACAACTCCTCATCTTTCCTGAAGGAACCGATCTCACAGGTGAGTCAATTCTGTTGTCTCTTCTTGGATCTGCTGAGATAGAAATTCTTGTCTTCAGGAAATGGTTTCAAAATATGTAAAAAGTGGGAGCAAATACAGCTCATGGACAGTAGAAGTGTTAGTAGATAATTAGTAAGCTACTACAGAAAGCCACTGTATTTTCAGCTAGCCCTGGGATAGACAGTGGTAGCAGCCTAACAATACACAGCGAAAAGATGGTTACTGTCTGTCTTCTACATTCAAAACAATTTGCAGGCTCTATTCATAAGGGCTAGGGAAACAACTATGATAGTTGGCCATCATTTCACTTCAAGACCAGCGAAAAGCCATCAAGCATATTACTTTTCCCACATGTTACAGAATTCTGTTGTGGGCAGGCCAAACTTGGCACAGCTCAGAGCTGCACAAAAACTTTTGAGATGGCCATGCTTCAGGCTCAGCAAGTGCTGCAGCTCAAATAATAATTTGTCATTAAAAGTTTGCCTCTTGGAGCTGCGTTTAAACCACCCAAGTCACTACATTCGACTCGCAACCTACAGGTTGGCCACCCGTGTTCTTATTGCAGACACTATTTGAAATAAGCCCTCACCAGAAGAGTATTTAGTCAGCCTTTCTAATGCCCACAGCTTTACAAGACTGCAAAAAAGACATTTGCCTAGTGTTTTTAGAAGTTTAAACATAATCAACCATTTTGCACAGTCTCTTGCTGTTATGGGACCCCTTCACAAGAATCTCCATACAATTTTCAGCTTTTCTCCATACAATTGCTTTAAAAAAAAAATAGGTAGAGAGACATGCCAAAATCTGTACCTTTGCAGGAATGTCTTATTTTGCATATGCATGCCACACTGTCTTGGGAGAGACAGCAGTATCCCATTTATTTCTTCTCTTCATGGTTTTCCTTTGGACTTTGGAAAACGTTGGGTCTATGGGCCCTGATAATGCAAGCTCTGATGCATAACAAGTTAAAAATGACATTAATGATTTATTTCTCAAAAAGAAAAATAAGAATACTTCAATACCCTTGTCCATAATCTTAAATGGAGTATTTAAGTACTGTAAATATTCTTATGATAAAGACTGTTTTCTTCCACCAAATAAGTAGCTAAATCATGGTTTGAAGTGTTAACAGAATTTGCAAGTATTAGCAGGTATTACCTGGCAGGGATCGCAACATGAATGCTTCTGCTATAACCCCCTGTGACTACAGCACAGAGCCTCAGACTTTGCAACACCTGCTGCAAGGCACGTGCACAACGAAACATCTTGTAAAGCATAGTTTCTCAACCTGTGGTACATATACCCCTGGCGGTATGCGAGACACAGGCAGGGGGTACGTGGGTACCCCAACACTCTCTCTCTCTCGCCCTCTTTTTCTCTCAAAACTATGGCAAAAAATTTGGTGTGCCACACATTAAAATTCCCCAGTAATAATTTGGCATGCCTGGGTTCACCCCTCCTAGCTTTGGGCAACACCACCTCTAGCCCAGGTACATACTTGAGTTGTGCACCCATGGTGTAAAAGGCGGCAACCCTACCGACACCAAATCAGACATTTGTCATATCATGGCCTTATATACACAGCCTTTCTTCCAACATATAGCACACATTAGTCTGTAAATATAAAATCCCCTGGAAAACTGAGTGTTAGGGTACGTATTAACATTTTCAGATTTTAGGGGGTGCTTGCTACTTAAAAGGTTGAGAAACATTGTTGTAAAGTACACTAAACAAGTGCAAGCATGCATAACAAAATGGTCAAATGTGAAGTAGAGACTCTCAAAGTAGTAGTAGTAGTAGCTCAATGGAGATATTTAATTAAAATGAAAAATGTACTGAAAGGAGTCACCTATTCCACTTTCTGGTGCAGGGTCAATGGTAGTTTGACAGTATGGCTAGGCACAGAAGTTGCACACAAACCGATTTAAATGTTCAGAAACCAGTTTAAACCTGCAACAGAACAGAACTTCAGTGCACTTAAACTGCTTACGTAATGGCCGAAACTGGTTTAAGATAAACCTGGTTGGATGTAGTATTAGACTTAACTGATTTAGGTCAAACAGTTTTACGGAACTTCTGTCCCAGAGCCTAAGATTTCAACAAAGGTTAGACTCAGTGTTCTCCCTAAAGTGTAGCAATCCATGAGCGCCCCAGTTCGGTCTGTGCGCTCTGCCTGCTCCCTGCCTCCGTGCCTTGCTGCAGCCTTTGAAAGCAGCGCAGCACCATGTGTGTCCCGCCGCTGGGCGGGCCAGGCAGTAAGGCACATAGCATCGCTTTCAAAGGCTGCAGCGAGGTGCAGAGGCAGGGAGCAGGCAGAGCTCAGATCCCACCCGCCTTTGCCCCGTGCAAAGATCAAGGGCCAGGCCATGTGTCCTCACTTGGCTGCCTGCGCTGTGCGTCTGGAGGGGCTGCCGAGCTCTGACTGCCCCACGACCTGGCCCGGTACTTTTAGTGTACTTTGCAATCAAAGCCCAGTGGTTCATCCCAGGGGTGCAACGTGGGGGAACCGGGGGGAGAGGGGATGTGTCCCCCCCTCTCCCACAGTGCGCACAGTGGCGGGAGCCCACAACCCTGAACAAACCACCAGGCTCCAACTCACGGTGAACAGGCCCCTGGCCGGGCTGGATTGTGGAACAATCCCAACAGTGCAGGAGGGAGCAGGGCAGCACCCTGCCCCTACCACACTCCCTCCTGCACTGTGGGGGTTTCAATATGCCCCCCCC